CATGCCTTCAGGTCTAGTAGGTATATAGGGCTAGACCTATATTTTATAGACCAATTGACGTTCAGTGGGTGATGTGGTCAACCCGGGAGCCAAAGTCACATTTAAAAAAAAACGTTAGGCTCCGTTCAGGTTCGAACCCACGACCTTTGATCCGCAAGCGAGCGTCTAGCCGCTACACCTCAGTGGCGTCCATAGCAAGTATAAGAATAACTCTACTGCAATTAAAATTTAAAATCCTGTTACAGATTTTGTCCATAATTTACAGCTAACGTAAGGCGGCTCCTATTTATTTCTATCTGAGAGAATGTATGAAGCATTTTGTTTGTTTTTATGCTTTTTCTAACTTCTACTACTGAAAAGCCCGGTGGACATCGTATTGTGTATCAAATAATGCAGGGCTACTATGACATTCTGAGGGACATGGTCTCTTGTTTCGTTTTCCTGTTGAATTGAAAGTTGAAAAAAAAAAAAGTAAAGATCCCTTCTTAGGCGCATCGGGTATATAGGCAGAGCGTCCCATATTTTTACAGACCAATCGGCACTGGAAGGGTAATGTGGTCAGCATAACGCCTGCCGTCTTTACTTTCCCAGGACAGCCCTCCTGGTACCCATTTTAGACTGGGTCGACCTACGACACCCCATGCTACGATAAAAATCCAGGCAGCCAGCAGTGGGTTTCGATCGCGGTACGTTGGATCACGAGTCATACTCACGCCTAACCCACGAACGTCGCTGTTGAATTAACAATTATTGTTAACTTGGTGGAATGCACTGCTCTACTCTGATGTAGTAAACTGAACAGTAATGTTTTTTAATGTGTTTCTAACTCCTCTGATTACGTTTCCTCATAGCAATCTGCAAATTGTTAATGTTTTTAATTCACTGTATATACGTTCACACTGTTTCGGTGACTTCTGTTTGCAAGATGGAAAAAGTCATTCAACTTCAACAATCGGATTAGTACCGTTTTTCAAAATAATACAAAAGGCAATTTTTCTTCTACTTCTGCATGCATCCTTAAAAAGGAGGTTGACAGGTTATGTTGTCGTTTACAGCTAGGCTGCGATATCTGCGCCTTTTAACCAAAGACAATCGATTTTTACTAAATATTGTTAGGGCAGTGATTTCTGTTTCCCCTCCTAAATTGAGGAACCCACAAGCAGAACCGTGGGCCATCATTAGCACCGAGAAAATTTTATCTTACCAATCAAGCTCAATCTTTTTCGTTTCACCCTCAATATCATTATTTTGATCTGTTTGCCATCATGACATATATGACTTAGAATGCTTACATATAGACTTGTACGTAATCTCTGCAATGGAATGATAACCTTGTGGCTAACTTTTCTACATATAGTCCATGCAGTGTGGCAACGGTAGTCATATTTATCCACAATCTTTTGACTTGTGTACCTTTATTCAATTCTGACACAGCTGATAGTGTATGCCGCGGTGTTCCGCAATGTTAAACTGTCCAGCATGTTGTTCACAGTCTGCTCACTAACTGATATTACTAGCTTACCAAGTATGGATCTCATTTTCACTGTACAAATTTAATTAATAAATCGGGTGATAGTACAGATCTCCGTCCAATGTTTTGTTTAATGTTTTGGACAGTAGCAACTTTGTGGTCTATTCTTATTGCTGCTTCTTGTAGATGTTTTAAAAAAGTGTTTCACAGATCTTTACCATCAATGTTTGAGCTTTCTAAAATTATCATAATTTCTTCATATTTCGTCGACTCTGTGGCTAAGTCGACAGTGGTACCAGGGGGTCGACCGTCCAGAAGCAATGGCAAACTACTGGACGTAAATTTGCATAGAGAAACCACACAACAGCCAGGGGCTGCTGGGGTTGGTTCTGCAACGTCCTGTAAAGGATACGCAACTAACTTCTTCATATTTCACAGCTCGTTTAGACACTGATACACGCACTCGTTTGTAGTGAGTCAGACAGTGATGCACCCAGACAGATTCCTGTATTTACACACATCCCTAGCACTATAACATAGCCAAACAACCAGGAGGGCATTGCCTGTTTTATAATCTGTTAATCGACTGAGAAAGATAATGTTTTACTGCAACAGGTGCATATAAACTAGAACACACAAGTCAGGTGTGCAACAAATTCTCTCTCCCCGCAGCTGCAGGCAACGCTTCCTTCCATCTGGACTGGCTGAATCAAAGCAGGCACCACATTTTACAGCTTTCATTGATTTTCAATCGTCTTGGAAATAATGGCTTTTAGACTGTTGGTGTTAAGAAGATGAAGAAGAAATATGACAAAAAATTATGTGCATGGATAAAAAGTACTAAATATTTATTGTAAAGCTAATCGTAGAAAGTTATAGAATTTTGGGTGATGATTTGGCGGAAAAAAAAAAGGGGGGGGGGGGGGGGAGAGATTGTTGGAGATTAACTGCAACCAACCCCAGTCGTGGAGAACTGCACTGAATGACTGATTTTCATCAAATTATTTGTTTTAAAATCAATCTTAAAAACTGCAAAAAAAAAAAAAAAAGTGTTCTCATGTTTCCCCGCCTCCCCCTTTCCCTCCCTACTCCCCAATATATTTGGTTATAATAATGAAATTATATTCAGTACCTTACTGCGATTCTTGCATTTAAATGATTACCTAATGACAGTAGCATCTGGCTGTTTCTTGTGTTTAGTTATTGTGACGACCACTGATTTGGAGATGTACGATATCTCCTGTGGGATTCTGATGCAAGTTCTTAAAAACGATACAGCTGGTATAAGGCTCACTGGCGTTATGCCAAGTTCTCAGAGACACTGTAGTTATACAAGTATATTTACTGACCGAATAATATTATCTAGTGTTCAAATAATTATAACTTGTTAGCTCATTTGAAAAATGTCCAGTAATTATATTTTGTCAGTTCTTCTAGTAAACAATTTGCCTATTGCCTCGATTGTAAGTAATGAGTGTGCTCACCCTATAAACACCGCTTTCATACTCACATACAGTTGAAAGATTTACCATTGTTATCACTGTCATTGTTATTATTACAGAAACTGTAACTCTTAATCTGTAATCTTGACTGTAATAATGGTTAAAAGTCAAATTCCCAACGATTGTCTTATTCCTGATTTTGACAAGCCTGTATGTTTAACTCTAGTAAATATCTTCATTTGGCAAAACTGAAAATAGGTGTCCTTATTGAGGGAATCTATTGTAAGGTAGGTAGCTAGTTGTACCCCACCAGGACATCACACAAGCGATAAACACCCCATGACACAAAGTGTCACCATGCGGGTCAAGATCACCTGTGGAGAGGTCCCAGAAACCCATTTCAGCCGTTAAGCCATATCTATAGCGGCCATAGATATGCCCCGGCTATGTTCAGGGCCCCTAGCTGAGACCAGGGTGGGGCTTCAAATAAAAAACTGTATCCCACATGGAGACGATTGCGATATAATATTGTAAGTTGATAATATTGAGTTAAAATCCTAGGGGACATAATCCACTGTTTGTGATTTCGCATAATGGTTAGTTGCGTATCCTTTACAGGACGTTGCAGAACCAACCCCAGCAGCTCTTGGCTGTTGTGTGGTTTCTCTAGGCAAATTACGTCCAGTAGTTTGCCATTTCTTACTGGACGGTCGGCTCTCTGATACCACTGTCTAAACCAACGCAATGCGCATGGCCCGCAGCTGGGATCGAAACCGGCACCCCGGCATTACGAAGCGTTCGCATCGACTTAGAAGCTCACATAATATTACTCTTTAGTATTTAATGTTTGTTTCAGATTAGGGTTAGGGTTAGCGCTTGAGTTAGGCTTTAGTTAAGCCCTAACTCTATCTCTAACCGAAACCCTAACCTGAAGAAATAGTACATATTACACTAGATTATTATGTGAAAGTAAACAAACAATGGATTGTGTACCTTATAATCGCCGTAAGCAAACAATGAGTTCCTTACCGATAGCGTTTTTTTTCAGTTTAGCAGCAGTCTGAAAGTGGTCAACCTTTTCATTTTTTTCTCAAAAGGACTTGGACTTTTTCAGTTTTGCCCTATATTTTTTAATGTAAAAGATATACTTTGCTTTGCTGTATTATTCATGATGAAATTTTTGTATCATATGCTGGACTTCCACTTTTATATCCTATGCTTCGGTGAGTCAGCTTAAAAAAAAATAATTAAGCAGCAGTAATTGTATTCAGCCTGTATTACTTCATATTCTTCGTGTGTGTGTATTTTGTGTTAGAATAATAAATGAATGTTTTATAACAATTTACTATTCGCTGTTATTAAACTAAATGTTCTGTGCAATGTTTGCAAATTATAGTGCAGTATTCCTGTTTTATTGTTCAACTGGTCCATACTGTTGTTAACTTCTAAAAAAAAATTTTATATTAGAAAAATAGGGTAAAAAAATCTGTTGTCTTAAGATTTTTATTGACGATTCTAACACGATAATATTTTTTTTAACCTTTGCCAAGAATATTGATATTAAAGGTTAAACATCTTCTTAAAGAACAGCATGATATATTATGTGACAAATCTGTTGTCATACATGACATTTATTGTTTCACCTTTTTAGTTTGTGAAAACAGTACTGTACAATTTTACCAATCAAACTGTTTCAGTCTCACAGTTGCAGGTTTTTGCTGCTCAAAGAACAAGCTGAAGAGAGAGAGAGATCTGTGACACTGTAACATGTAAACTAATGTACACTGAATAGTATATAACACTATGCATTTTACAATTATAATGATTATTTACATTAACTACTTCCATCACCTGAATATAATTCTACATGTAGAAAAATTAGAATGACCAGGAAAACTATTTTTAAGAGTTAAACAAGACAGTCAGAAAGAAAAGCAAAATATCAGAACTATCTTTACCTAGTAAAGCTGTAAAAGCAAAACATGCACATTCGCTGAAAAAAATCAAACCTTCTCCCCAGTTAACACCCCTATATTATCTGTAGAAGAAGTAAAGCCCATATTTGAACATGCCAACCACGTTATTACCTTAGGATCTAGATGATGTGCATCCTTGTAACTATACCACAGTCGGGTATCATTGCTGTAAGCAATCCTGAACCTCTGCACCCAGTGCTTCTTCTTGGTATCTCCCCTGCCTTTGGTTATAATACCTGTTATAAGAGTTGGGGGCCCAACATCAATCTGTAACCACTGCGTATCTGTAGACATATATGGATATAATGTTGACTGCATTGTACTCATATGTAATGGCAAATGTTGGTTCTTTTGTGTTTAGCGATCATATCACGCGAGATTTAGGGAAATCCCATAGTATAAGGAGGTTGGGATTAGTAGTATTCGCCATTCATTTAACACTAGCCCTAACAACCCCCCTCCTTTCCATAACAATGTCCCTAAATCACGCGTGATGTGGTCGCTTATGAGAAAAGAACCAAAATTTTACTTCAGATTAATACCTACACTCAACGTAATCATCATGATGGAAAACACAGTTCTGTATAGAATGACACTCTCATCACAGTCTGACCACTAGACGAGATCCTTCACCAGTTATCATGCATTCATTTTCATGCCTAGTGTCTTTAATGTACATCATGTTGTTTGAATCCAGCCTCATCTTCCAGGAATCATGCCTTTTTACTTACTACGCTTTCCAAACCATCAAGGCTTACATACACCGTGTTCTAAAAAATTGTCTTTAAAGAGGTATTGCTAGTTTACTGGCGTGTAAGTTTATCCCTTAAAGACGTATCGCCAGTATACTGGATCATGATAGAGATACTCTAATTTTATTCCGTCTGTAGGGAAAACGAACTTTTATGAACCATTTTTTGAACAATTAAGATTAACACCAGGAAGTCCTTTCGTTTGGGATGTTCATCGTGGTCGGTGCATTTTTTTCTGATTTAATAATAAAAAAAAAAATTTAGATGGGATACAATTTTTACGTGATTTTTCTATAAAAAATGATAAGGGAAAAGGTCTAGAACTGTCCATACTGCTCTATCGTCGATGAATCTTTGCCAGATGGTGAATACAGTCTTGATATTAAGTGACAAATCTACTGACGATAATTTAGTTAAGGATATGAACATTTCACAAAATAAAATATTTCAATCAGATCAATGTTTTGATTTGCTGTTTTCCCGATTTTCGGTTGTTGTGAAAATTGACATGTCAAACAAACATGATCATAGCGTCCAAAGTATTTAAATTAATTGTTTCAAATAAAGACTTGCTAATACATAATTGAACAGAGAAGGCATGTGCATCTTAGAATTGGATAGCAGTGTTGCTGAACAAGTAAAAAAAAAATCAGGTAAGCACAACATATTTTATGTCAATAATTTTTATATGTGTCTATAATATTAAATTTTGTGTGATTTTAATAATATTGTATTGTTATATTGACATTTAAATAGTTTAGATTTATTTTGCACTCATTAATCTTTAATTTCATATATTATATGTCCCGATACAGCCAATACCTTTTCTTCAAAGAGGTTTTAGCTTTGTCTGTGTTGCAGTAAAAAAAAAATTCCGCTTAAAATTAATGCCAGACAAACCCCAGAAAAAAATGCGGCCCTGAAAGAGTTAGAAACAATTTATCCTAAAAAATAAACATTGGTGAAGAACAGATCATTAAAATATCTGGACTAATCACAATTTCTAAAGTTTTCAACAACAGTACTCCAACACTACATTTTATTGCTTTACCATCAGCAGAGTACTACTTTTTATCGTTATTTCAAATGTTGTTACTGCAATCACGGCAGTACAGTATTTAATGTGGTTCCGCCATTTAGTCAGACTTCATCTTCTTACAGTCCAAACTCCTCAATTTTCTACATCTGCATATGAGTTTTCATATTTCAAATTTCGTTGGTCTACCACCTCACTTTTAGTTTAAAAAAAAAAACATCACTTATCACATGCTCAAATACAATGTTGTTAAATAAAGATGGTTAAATCGCCACGCCAAAGAATAAACAGAATCCTAGATCAGGTCTGTGCTCTTGTCCCACGCATCTAGTTAGCTAAGCTATCCGGATTTTTATATCTTTACCTTTTCACTTGCTCATTTTCTATCAATGTTGCCAGTAGTCACCAGGTTTTCGAGTCTATCCCTTCCCCGGAAATATACCTTTTATAATTATTCCAACAAACAGAAAAATTCCGTAATAAATTTGATTTGTTCACGTTTCTTTATTCTTCCTATAGATTACTGCACCGTAAAAATAGTTTGTAAATAAAAGGCCTTTGAGCTTAAAACTACACATCCTTTTAAAAAAATCAAAGAAACCTTTGCATTACACATCGACAATTGATGCAGTCAAGGCAAATATTATTCATTTATTCCAGCATGGGTAACAGACAGGACAACGTTATCTTTACTTATGCTTCACAGATTGTCTTGCAAGATCACTCCTATGTAGATTTCTTTTCTCTAGCTGGAACAACCTGGGCTGTCTTGTAAGACATACTCTGTAGTATTCTTTTGCACACCATAACCCCCCCAAAAAAAACAGAGTCAGCGACATCAACATGGTGAAGATATTCTCTGAGTTAACACTGTCCCTTTTTTTAGTGTCTACATTTTAATGACAATGCTTTTGTCAAACCTACATATATTATGTTTTGCTCTGTAATTTTTTGGGGGGATCTTCTTTCCAGTTCAGTGTCATAGATTGTTTTAAGAGTATCTTTGGCCCTTTAAGCTCTGAGACAAGCTTGCTGAAAGCAGTTCTGGTTTAGACTTGATGAGATTCGAAGTTACACATAAATATAAAGCTCTAAGGCCCTAACAGGTTTAAATGACATCAGCTTATCTCAGAAAAATGTAAAAAATATATAGGCCTTTTGAAAAAATGGATAATGGAAATATATTGTTGTTTAATTTGTATTCAAATAAATAATAAAGAATGTGTTTGCAAAAACTTGGAAATTTTATGATATAAGCTCTAAGTAACAAATGGAGGTGTCCCCCCCCCCCCCCCCCCCCCCCGATTTCCCAAATATCAAATATTTGATTGTGTCATTAAAAGATACACAGGCAAATGTTGCTTCAATACACACTATGCTAAGTGCTGATTATAAATATATATAAATATATAAATATATATATATATATATATATATATATATATATATATAAATATAAATATATATATATATATATATATATATATATATATATATATATATATATATATATATATATATATATATATATATATAAAGGGAAAATTGTACTTAAAGTATATTAAAGAAAATTGGTACCTAGAGTATATTAAAGGCAAATTGTACTTAAAGTATATTACTGAAAATTGGTACCTAGAGTATATTAAAGGAAAATTGTACTTAAAGTATAGTAAAGTAAAATTTGCATTGTGAAAAAGTAAATATTATTTTTTTGTGGGGCTTCTGCAGACTATGAAGCCATAAGATGTAGGCTATTCCCAAATCCCACTGCTGGCTGCGTAGATTTTTATTGTGGTATGTGGCGTCAAAGGTCGACCCAGCCTAAAATGGGTACCAGGATGTATTGATGAGGAAGTAAAGACGGCCGGTGTAATGCTGACCACATTACCCACCTAGTGCCGATGGGTCATTACAAATATGTGTGCTCTTCCCATATACCCGATGAGCAAAAAGGGATCTTTACTTTTTACTATCATCGGTATTCGACGAGTGATGTAGTCATTATTATCACAATCGCCTTTACTACCCATCATATTTCCTGGTCTCCCTTCTAAGCTTACAAGCCTAAAAACAGTACCATGCAAATCTTGCGAAGCACTGTCCATTTGATTCCATAGAGCCTTCTCCACATCCTGCTTTATCATACAGCCGGTCACTGCTCAAAGCAGCGACAGCAGCTACTCTGTCAGCCTGCTCGTTACCTCGCACACCTGAACATCCTGGACATATGATCTATATATGTAGAGGGTGTGATGGGTATCGCAGTATAGAGATTTCATCAGTTTTCTAAAGTAGAGCACCACGTCTACTACGGTATAGGTATGGCAATTGTTGGCTTGCACGCCGTTTGCTAGTTACTGGCTCAATGTTCATAAATTTAAAAAACTGGGTTCCTATCTCTTCGTGCAACTTCAACACCTGAAAATGTGAAATTGTAACTCGAATGAATGAAATAATTTTTGCTGACCTTTTCCATTCTCACTTAGATAGTACAGCTAAGGGTCACAGACTGAAAAGAGGAAGGTACTGGATGGCGAAAGCCGAAGACGCAACTGGACATGTGAACAGGCTTGATACATTTTAGCAAAGGGGAGGAGTGGGTCAAGGGGTCCGAACAAGTTTCAGACTTGTGTAGGGTTCTAATCACTTTAGATCGTGAGAATCAGAAGTTTAACAAATGATCCATGGCAATTCCCTCCCAAGTGATGTGATTATCTATTCAGATATCTCTGTGTTGAGGGGCAGACGAAGTGCATGAGGGTTCATAGCAAAGGAGAATGGAGGTCGCATTGTGCAGCAAAGCCTTGCATATGATATCACGTCTAGTTTGAGAATTGAGGTGGAGGCAGTCTCTGCTGCCTTCCGCTGGGTTGAGAATCAACTGTACACACAGGATGTCAATGTAACTGACTCACAGAGTATGTAGAGTGGCAAGCATTACTTCAGAGGTCCCTGGTAGTTAGCATCCTTTTGGATATTTTCTCTAGGTTAGGATAGTGTATTCTTAAGTAAGCAGGCAGATAGACTGACAGGCTCTGCCCCATTTAGTGGAGAAGTGATGTATCACAAGCTAGATATTGCGAGGGTCCTTTGGGAACGAGTAAACAGTGCGGAGGCGAAGATAGATCATTACGGTCTGAGAAGAATGGCGCTGCGATGTGTTACCAGGGAATCCGGTCGACGATTAACACTCAGGGAAGGATGAGACGGATACACAATCAGACGGTTACTGGTACCACCAGAACTTGAACTCTTCGCTTGCTGCTGAAGATCTGAAGATGGGGATAGAGCACTTATGGAGATGTTCTGAGTGCTGTGATATCGATTCTTAATTCAACATTCAACAGTCAACATTCACAGTCAACTTGGATAGGACAATGTGTCTAACGACAATCTTCTGGGTCCGCAGAATCAGGTAAGATTACATCAATCTGTCATTGCTGTCACGTGAGGCAGACACGCACATATTATAATGAAACTTTTTGAAATTTTGCGT